CACTGAGCCATCTCTCCAGCCCCCGCTCCCTATTTTTATTATTTTTAACTATGTGTATTGTGTAGGTCTGTGAACATGAGTGCAGGTACCTGAAGAGGCAAGAAGCGTTGGGTCCTCTAGAGCCGGAGTTATAGTCAGCTGTAAATCACCCACTGTGGGTAAAGTGTTGGGAACTAAACTCAGGGCCTGTTCAAGAGCAACAAGCTCTTTGAAGAACACCTCCCCAGTATCAAGATATATTTTATTTTAATTTGTTATTTTATTTGAAACAAGGTTGTGTTGTTGAAACAAGGTCTGGTTGGTTTTGAACTCAGGAGATATGCCTGCCTCTGCCTCAAGTGCTATGACTTATATACACTATCATGCCTAGCTTTATTTTACTTTTAATCATGTGCAAATGTGGATAAATGGTATGCACACATAAACGCAGATTTCTGAGGAGGTCAAAGTGAATGTTGGATCCCCTGTAGCTGGAATTACAGGTGACTGTGAGAAGTAAGGCCTGCATGCTGGGAACCAAGCGCGGTCCTCTACATGAACATTACACACCCTTAATGACAGCTAACTTGTCTATTTCTTGTTTGTTTTTTATGTTAAAAAATGTAGCTACTATAAAACTGAAGGCATTATGCTCATATTAGGCAGAATTACTACAGAATATTTTAGGATGACACAGGAGAATATGACTCTGAAGTCAAAAGACAAACAAGAAACCAGGCACTATCAAAAAGGGTTTAGAAAACAGGCTTCTAGCATTTACACAAAAGCATAGTGTGGCCTGGCATGGTAGCCAGACAAGGTGATGCACATATATAATCCCAGAACTAGGAAGGCTGATGCTGGATAACTGCTGTAAATTCAAGGCCAGCTAGGGCTACATAGTGAGACCCTGTCTCAAAAAACCAGGGGTCGTGGTGGGAGGGAGGGAAGAAGGGGGGAAGAAGATAAGAAGATAATCTAGATATTATAGCTATAGAACCCCTCAATTTTTACTTTTTTTTTTTTTTTTTTTTTTTGTTTTTTGAGACAGGGTTTCTATGTATCTTAGCTGTCCTGAAACTAGCTCTTGTAGACCAGGCTGGCCTTGAACTCACAGAGACCCATCTGCTTCTGCCTCCCAAGTGCTGGGATTAAAGGCGTGCGCCACCACCACCCAGCTCTATTTTTACTTTTTAAAACAGGGTCTCAAAAATAGTACACCCTCAAATTTGTTACATAGATAAGGATGGCCTTGAAGTTCTGAACCTTCCACCTCGGCCTCCAAGTCTGATTTTATTCATTGCTGGGGATCAAGTCAAGTGCTCCATTTATTCTAAGCAAATACTCTAACAACTGAGGACCCTCCCCAAGTGCTCCTCCCCCCACAAAGTTTTTTGAGATTTTTATTCATTTTATTTTATGTGTATAAGTGTTTTGACTGAATGTATATCTGTGTGCCATGGGCCCAAGGAAGCCGTAAGAGGTCACTGGATCTTCTGGGACTGGAGTTACAGATGGTTGTGAGTTGCCATGTGGGAGCTGGGATTGAACCGAGGTGTTCTTAACCTCTGAGCCATTATTAAGTTTCTCCCCAAAATTAAGGGTAAGAAAGGTAAGACTTTACAGATTAAGATGATAGACGCTTTGCCTAGCATGTACAAGGATCTTTTCGGTAATATTTACTAAGTGTTTCCAATTATTTCTCTTTTTCTTCTCATAGAATTTTGGAACTAAGATCTCAAAAAAGACATTGCTAGAGGTTAGAGAGACGGCTCAGCAGTTAAGAACACTGGCTGCTCTTCCAGAGGATCTGGTTTCAATTTCCAGCACCCACATAGTAGTTCACAACCTTCTGTAACTCCAGTTCCAAGAAAGCCAATGCCCTCTTATGCTCTGCATGCATATGGTACACGAACAAACATGCAAGTAGAATGTCCACATACATAAAATAAAAATAAATTTTAAAAAATCACACATTTTTTTAAGACTCAAGGCTGGAGAGATGGCTCAATGGTTAAGAGCACTTGTTGGTCTTGCATATTATCTAGGTTCAATTCCCAGCACGCCACCTGGAAACTCTAATTCCAGGAGATCTGAAGACTTCTTTTGACTCCCTCAGACACCAGACATGCACATGCTACAGATACATTTAGACAAAACATTCACACACAATAATAAAGTCCCCTAGAATATTTCCTTGGCTCTCTCTCTCTGAGATAGAATTTCACTCTGTAGACCACTGGCCTCAAACTCACAGAGAACCACTTGCCCCTTTCTTCTGGGTGTTGGGATTAAATGTATTTGCCACTAAAAGTGACTAAAACTGAATTTCATAAACACTAGATAGTCAGGAATGCTGGTGCACCTTTGTAATTCCTACACTCAGGAGACTGAAGCAGGAAGATTGCAATTACAGCTAGCTCAAGGTTAGGTTAGGCTACATTAGCTGAGTTCCAGGCAAGACTGGCCTACGATAACTAAGCAACCAAGAAAACAGTAAATATACCAGAGACTGGCAGCACAAGCAAATCAATCCGATAAAACTATTTCCAAGACAGGGAAACTCTCCCCCTCACCCAGTAGTTACCCAAAAACTTAGGGGGTTGTGGACGTCTAATAAGAAACATATACAGTGGGGCTGTAGAAATAACGAAGTGGTTAAGAGCACATACTACTTTTGAAGAATAGCTGTGTTCTATTGCCAGCACCCATGTCAGGCTGCTTACAACTGCATATAACTGCAGATCCAGAAAGATCTAATTAATGCCTCTGGCCTCTGAGGGTATCTGTACTCACGTGCACAAACTCCCAGAGGTACCTGGTGAATCTCTGAGTTCAAGGTCAGCCTAGTCTTTAGTGAGTTCCAGAACAGTTGGGCTACACAGAAAAATCCTGTCTTGGTAAACAAAATAAATTAATACAATTAAAAAGCACACAACAGGAGAAATGGCTCAGCCGTTAAAAGAGCTTACTTGCAGAAGACTCAGGTTTGATTCCCAGCACCCACATTAGGTAGCTCATACCATCTATAAAACCAATTCCAGGGGATAGGATGCCCTCTGCCTCTGCTAGTACCAGCACACACGGTGCATATAAATTCACACAGGTACACATACAAATACATAAAAATAATAAATATTTTTAAAATTGAGTTTAACCCTAACACTACAATAAAATAAAATAAACCACTATTAAGGTAGAAGCAGAACCAGGGGTTCAAGGTAAGTTTAGGCTATATGATACCGTGTATGTGTTGTGTGCGTACACGCTAAACACTAAGAACTGGAGAGATGGCTCAGCACTTAAGATTATACAGAGCGGCTGGGTAGTGGTGGCACACACCTTTAATGGGGGGGGGGGTCAGAGGCAGATGTATCTCTGTGAGTACGAGGCCAACCTGGTGTACAGAATGAGTTCCAGGACAGCCCTAAAGATACAAGGAGAAACCCTGTCTCGAAAAATAAAAAATAATAATAATAAAAAAAAAAGAAAAGAAAGAAAAAGTATAGAGCAGTCAGGCCTGGTAGTTTAGGTTACAGCATTTGGGTACACTGTGGATTGAAGGCCACCATGAACTTTTTTAAAATTTATTTTTATTTTATGTGTATGACTTTTTGCCTGCATGTATATCTGTGAAACATGTGTGTGCCTGATGCCTGCAGAAGCCAGAAGAGTGCATTGCATCCCTTGAACTGGAGTTACAGAAGGTAACAAACTGTCATATCCTTGCTGGGAATAGAATTTCCAGGTCCTCTGGGAAGAGAAGTCAGTGCACTCAACCATTGAGACATCTCTCCAGTCCCAACAAGACCTATCTTAAGATCCCATCTCAGAAAGAAAACAACCCCCCCCCCAAAAAAAATTACCAAGCACAAAGCAGAGACAAATGACTGAAAGATGCAGGCGCCTGAACATGGATACCAACCACGTAACACACACAATCAACATGTAAGTAAAACTTAGGTACTTTCACACAAACAGCACAGGTGGTCTTAAATATTTTGCATAGTTGTTGACCAACTTCATGTACCAAATGAGACAGGAAAACACACACTGAGCAAAATCTTGCTTAGGAGAAGTAATAATTCATTAACAAAAAGATAATTTTCTCTTGAAAGAATAGTTTTAAGCCCCTGACTTAAACTGATTATAAAAACATCATAAAAGAATTCAAATGATCGAGAATTTATGCATTTACTACACAGTAAATCAAAGCTAATGGAATAAAGCTTACACTAGCAACATGGGACAAACACCAATGGGGACTAAGCACTAGCTTTCGCGGAAGCAAACACGTTTGCAACAGCGGGACTCCAACGGCTTGCTCCCGTTCCCTTCAGTCCTTTACCGCTCTCGGCTTGAACTGAGTGAGCCCTCCTCGGAAAACCGAGAAAACGACACTTTGGCTTACGGGGGAAGAGCTCAGAGGTCCTAACACACTGGAACTTCTGGATAAGCGACAGCTTGTCCACTAGCTTGTCCACCACCTGCTCAGAAATGGGACCCACAGCCGAGTGAGCAGGAGAAAACGAACTCCTAAGACGCAATTTAGCGGAGTGGTGAAGCAGAGGCGACCTCTCTCCCGTCACGGCCACACGGTCCCGCCCCCGGCTTCCCACCTCCGTCCACCCGCGTCCCTGGAGCAGACGGCAGCTCCTGTCACCTCTGCTGGGAGGACCCCTTCCCAGGAGCACCGCCCGCCGGGCTCGGCCGGGCTCCATCCCCGGGAGACCGAGCGTGTCCGAGTGGAAGAGTCTTCCAGCAAAGCTGCTAGGGCTGGGAGTCCTGAGGGCCGGGGCCGCACATCCCCGGGATCCCCTCGGGGAGCCGCGCCAGCATTCGGGATCGGGCTCCCCTGCTTCTCGGCGTCTCGCCGTGTCGGACCCGGTCGCCTCTCACCGCGGAGCGCCCCCCGCCGCACCGGGACCGGGGTCCGCCCGAGGGAGAAGGGCGGGCCGGCGGGCGCCCCGCAGCCGGAAGGGGCTTGCCTCGCAAGCAGGCCGGCCTCCGGCCCGGCTCACCTTCAGGTCGTTCTCGGGAAGGTACTTGCACTGCCGCGCAATCTCCACATACTTGTCCAGATCTAGCGGCGCCATTTTAGGAAGAACGAGCCACGGCGAAGGCAGCGGCGGCAGCTGAAGTACCGGAGGCAGCGGCGGAGGCCGAAGCCGGAACAATCCTTACGTCACGTCCGACCCGTGAGTGGCGTCTGCGCAGCGTCCTCAAAACCTGACTCGCTCCTCTTCCGCACCTCGACACGCCCCGTGCCCTCTCGGACCGAACTCCGGGTCTCTAAGAGAACCCGGGGGCCTGCTGATGAGCCCTGCTGGGACCTGTAGCTGTGTGCCGCAGGGAGTGCTGGGACTTGTAGTTTTAGTAAAAACAGAATGCTCTTCCTATCCTACTCTACACCTCTGAGAAACCAGTTGAGGCTTTTCCGCGGGAAAATTACGAAGTGGGTAACTAGGTATTCCCTAGCTCTCATTCCTACCCTGTCAGCGTCTTCAGTTACAGTTAGGATAACTGTTGCCGACTTTCCAGTGATGACCTGACCTAGACGTGTGAAACAGATTTAACACCCCCAATTCTCCGGCTTGGAAGAAAAGAAAAAATATTGAAGCATTTATTAAGCTAAATTTTATACAAATACTGGCGCGATATTTTTCCTCTTCAATTCTTGTAAAAGCTTGCATGTGTTACTTTCCCCAAATATCAAAGGTGGAGCCTAGACTGGAAAACAGGCTTATTTAAATAGACTTATTTGAACTTGGGAGTCCCACGAGGGGGCAGGAAGGGTTTTTTTTGATATTTTTACTTTGGTTTTTGTCGTATCCCGGTGTCGAGAACAGTTCTTTACACCTAATAAAGCTTTAACATTGGTTCATTTGGCAACTGCATATTGAGCAGCAACTACGTACGGATACACTTGTAGGGAATTAGAATATCCAGTGGCGACAGGAGAGGAAAACCTCGATCTCTGGGGCTGGAAAGTTTGCTTAGTGATTAAGAGTACTAGCTGCTCTTCCAGAGGAGGATTCAAGTTCTATTACAGCACCCAAGCGGCTGCTCACAAAACCTGAAGCCCAGTTCCAGAGATTCTTATGCCCTCTTCTGGCCTCTAGGGGCACTGGCTGGAATGCACAAGCACACTTGCAGACAAAATATATAAAATAAAACATTAAGAATGTATAAAATCTCTGTCCTCAGCCTGTAATTTACTTCTGCTAGAGATAAACAATAAATACAATAGTTTGCTTATAGCATGTTAGAAAGTGATAGCTGTTAAGGTAAGGAGGATGGGTTGACACAGTAGTAAGAAATAACCAATCGGCCAGCCATAGTGGACCACACATTTGACCTCAGCATTGGAGAGGCAGGAGGATAACTGTGCGTTCTAAAACAGCTTGGTCTAAGTAGTGAGTTGCTGGCCAACCAGGAGACCCCGTGGGAAGTTCTAGGAAGACAGGTGATGGAGTCAGCATCCCTAAGCATGTCTAGTGCCTTTGAGGAAGAGCTGCACCATAGCACCTGGACATGAGAGGAAAAGGGAAACACTGGTTTATTTTTCTTTTGCTGTAATGGGCAACTACTGTAGGACTTTAAGTAGAGATGCAAAATGATCAAACTTATTTGCTTTGGTTGGTTGGTTTTGTTTAAGCCTTCTCTTTAGCCCCCTTGACTCCCATTTTAAAAACAGAACTCAAACATTCCTACAAGAATTCAGGAACGCGATTTCTATTTTAAAGGGTAAACTATCCTACAAGGTAAACTATCCAATATTCCTGTTTTTCCTGTTAGTATACCTCTCTAGCATGGCATCTTGAGGTAATCCTAGTCAAAAGACCCAGGGCCCAGCAAAGCAGTCTGGACTCTCAGCAGTAATTGCTGTCTAAACACAAGTCAAGCACGCAGCAGAGCCAACCTGGCCTTGGTCCTCTCTCCAGAAGGAAAAGGAGTGAGTGTACACCTCTAAACTCTTCTTCGGAAGCCACCGGGAGACTTTATTAATTACAGGAACTCATGCAGAGTCCAGGTGTGGGAAACATATGGCAAAGTGGTGAAGAGAGCTGCAGCCCCCAAATTTTATTTTGTCCATGAATTTTGGTTATATTTTCAAGTAGCTAAATGAGTTATTAAGTTGGACCTCAGGCATTGTGGCTCTTATTGGTAAGTCCCAGCACTTGTGAGGTGGTGGCAGGAGGATCAGGAATTCAAGGTCATACTTAACTACACAGTGAGTTGGGGACCAGCCTGGGCTACATGGGCCTTGTCTCAAAATTAAAACCCAAGTTTTCCTTTCACTTGCAGTAGTAGATTCTCCCAACTGCTGTCTGCTGGCGTTGCTTATCCCCATTCTACACGTGAGTAAACCAGGGTTCCTAGAGGGGAACAGACTTGGCAGTTGTCAGAGTTCCCTGTTAGGTGCTGGAGTCTGTGTCTGAGGTCACATTTGTCTGCCCTTTACCGGTAAGTGCAGTAGCTTTGCTGTTTCCAGTCTGAGTTCTGACAATAGTTAGTGAGCATGACAGTGTGGTACTCTGATCACACATATAGGCACAGGTCAGCCATCTTTGTTTTAGGAAAGACACGGAGCATTTATAGCTAGGACATAGGTCGGAGCTTATGCAGATGAAGTTGTTGACAGTGGGTTTCATTCATAGGCAGAATTATCATGGCTTTTACAGAGAAACCAGCTCTGAGCCTCCAAAGATACCTGACCACAATCCCTATAGAAATCTTAGGATTTCTGTTGCAGAGAGGACACCCAAAGTATTAATTAATAACTTCACCCGAGATCATACGGTCTCAGTCTTAGTGAACTTTTTATTCCTTACCCTTCACAATAGGACCTAGTTGTCGTTTGTGTTTAATCTCTTGGCTCAGTCTGTGAGCTCTGGAAGACCAAACGCCTGTGGTCTGGAACGTGCTGTAACCACACGCGACCATTATGGAGATGGACCGCTTTAAGCACCACAACTTGAACCAGCCTCAAGCCTGCACAGGCAAAACCCGGCATTGTAGAGCCTGTGGCTCACTCAGGAGGCTGCAGCAGAATTCAAGGTCTTCCTGACTTAAGTAATGAGTTCCAGGCCATTCCTCCCCTTCAGAAGTCACTACTAAGGACCGTTGTGACAAACTCCGTTAGCCCTTTAAGGGCTGAACAAGGAATTGGAGTAATCGAACGCCAGCCTAGTTTGGAGTGGGGCTGTTGGCGGGACACCAGGGAGGTTAGAGCGTTGGCCTGGGGCGCTTTTGGCGCGCGGTGGGGGGGGGGGGGGGGGGCACGGACACGGAATCCTAAGCCCCGCCCTGTAGGTGGAGCCACGTCCCGAACAAGCGTGGTTAACGGTAGGTAATTAATTGGTGCTGGGCTGGGAGGCTCTGGGTGCGGTCTCCTGGAGGAGAGCAAATCCCTTCCCGTAGTGTCTGAGCTGGGTAGAAGGGGCAGTGTTTCTGGTCTCCGGATGGCATATTAGCAAAAAGCAGGCTACCATTTCTCCCTGACTCTGACTTCTTTAACGTGGAGACGTGGCTGGGAGAGAGTTGTGAAGAAGGTGGCTTGGGGAGTCCCCGCCCATGCGAAGCCAACCCCTCCCCTCCATATATCAATTGCTCGGTTATGGATATGTAACTCCCACAGTTTATAAGCCATGAAAGCTGGGTTCGTGGTATAAGTACATGCATGATGAGTGCTGAGGTACAGGACTGAGCCTCCCATAGTACATGCACCACGAGTGCTGGGTTACTGGTTCGAGTCTCCCCCATGCACCGTGATTGTGGGTAATAAGTATGAAGCTCCCGCAGTACATGCACCATGAGTCATTAGCATTAAACTCGCAGAGCACATGAATGATGTGTTACTGGTTGGAGTCTCCAACAGATAGATATCCCGTAGTGCTAGGTTACAGGCATGAGTCTCCCACAGTACATGAACATGAGCACTGGTTTACAGATAGTAGCTGTGATGACTATTCTTGGCTGTCAACTTGACTACATCTGGAATGAACTACAGTCCAGAAATGAGGACACACCTGTGAGAGATTATTTTTGCTTACTTTGAAGTAGGTGGATCCACCTCTACTCCAGACCTTTGAGGTAAGCAGACACACACCTGTGATCGGATCTTGAGGTGGGAAGACACACCTTTAATTTGGGTCACATCTTCTGCTGGAAGCCTAGATAAGGACATGGCAAAGAGAAACTTTTGCTTGTTGCCTGCTTTCCCTTGTCTTGCTATCACCTCTATTCCATCACTGGCCTTGGAGCCTACTTCTTTGGGATTCTGGTGTATACTGAACCCAAATAAGCCAAGACATCCAGCCTTGTGGACTGAATTTTGGGATATTCTGTTCACAGTCAGCCACTGTTGCATTAGCTAGTCTGCAGCCTGTAGGTCATTTCAATAAATCCCCTTATATTTATGTATATAATATATTTATGTATATATATTCATTCTATAAGTTCTGTATTCTAGAGAGCCTAATTACAGTAGCCTGCTACTGTATTTCTACCATTAGTGCTGGAATACAGGTGTGAGACTGCCACAGTACATGAATAATGAATACTAAATTCAGGCTTTTGCCTAAAATGGTATATGCAGCCTGAGTGCTGTATTACATGCATGAGCCTCCCCCAGTACAGGAACCACAAATGCTGAGTTACAAGTATGAACCTCCCACATTACATGTACCATGAATGCGCTTACAAGCGGTTTTGGGCATCAGCTTTCCACAGTATGAGCACCATGGAAGCTGTGTTACAGACTTCCACAGTACATGCACTGGGGGTACCCATTTCCAGGCAGGCTCTTCCCACTGTGCATTCATACTGTGTGTGCTATGCAGGCATGAGTTTCCCACAATGCATCCACTATGAGTGTGGGGTTGCAAGCATGAGCTTCTCTAGTATGTGCACCATGAGTGTTGGGTTACAGGTGTGAATCTCGCACAACACATAATGATGAGTGCTGGATGGGTCATGAGTCTCCCACCATCCATGCACCTATCACTGCTGGGGGAGGGTGCGGGCTAGCCTCCAGCAGTGCAGGGCTGAAAAGGAATCCACAGAGTTGGTGTACTAGACTTTTCTATCCTAGGGGGTTTTGGGGTAAAAGACACTCACACTCTCTCTTGATGATTTCCTTTTTTTATTCTTCTATATTCTTCTTTATACTTTTTTCCGCAGCTTGTATACCCCAACAAAATCTTTCAGGCAATATTGGAATTACAATTACAAAAATAGAATTACATTCTATTT